TATATTATATATAATATCGTAAAAATTGAAGAATATATGTTAAGTAATTAATAAATTACACTTCTAAACTGGCATCTAAACTTTCTTAATATGGATATCGATAGTTATATTTTATATAGTCCAAGTGCATGACACCCCACATAAAGCACAAATCTTTATAATGTTATTCTAGAAATTAATGCGAATAAAAAATCCTAATAACAAATATAATATCGTAATTTCGTAAAATATATTTCTTTAATCGCTATTTTTAATAATGTATATATTTTTGTAGGTATATGCTTTCAGTTATGATTCCGATGAATCATATTCCACTAAATATTAACTATTAAATGATTTTTTTATATATTATTCTATAAAATTATACAAAAATATCCTACGACAGATGTAATATTAGACAAAGAGAGTTATTAAAATAAATTTATTTCACAATATTTTATATTCTAAATGGGAAATGCTTTGGAAAGACGTTATACTATTAAGTGTATTCTTTCCCAAGCGGAATCTTTCTCGAGTTTTATCTAGTGATTAAAATATATATGGAAGAACTTCTAGAGTGAAAACCGCATTAAACATTGCGTATTTTATCACGATCCGTGTGTTCTCCCGTAACATAACTATTGTTCAGCAAGCGTGTGTGTGTTACTTCATAAAAATATTCAGCATTTATTTATTAACGTTGACAACGAATGGAAATATTAACGATAGATTGCATTACTATTTTAAAATAAAACGAAGATTTCGTCATATATTTTAAAATAAAAAATATATTTTTATACTAATAATGTAATTAATTTCTTCACGTAAATATGTCATAGTAGAATGCACGTATATGTGTATTTCTCCGCCTATCTAATTTATATGTAATTCTTTTATATATTTAACTATTATTTTATATATTTAACTAGTAAATTAGTTAATAAAACCTAGATCTTTTAAATCAACTTTTTTATTTTTGTTACCACTCGCTTGATATCCATGCCTTAATTTTTGCAATATTTTCGCATCCAAAGAAAATCTAACATATGTTATTAAAATATTAGGCAATGGTTTCGCGACATTGCAAATATTATAATATTTCAACTTTCTTAAATATTGTTAACTTTCTCTAGTAATTATGTAAATTATGTATACGAAAGGGTAGACCAAGGATTTTGAACAAAGGCACGTATCAAAGCAATTCTTATTTACATATTATTCGAATATTTTATATTTACTGAAGTTTATGTATTACTGAGGTTTATGTATTACTGAGGTTTATGTAGGATTTCCAGAAACCATATATTTAAACTGTTACTTCTATAATATTATAATTACATTAAAATGTCATTTTAACAACTTTCTATGCATCCAATGTATTCGTTTATTATTACCAGTATTCTTTAAATAAAAACAATATCAAGTATAATGTCTACAGATAAACATAAAACATATTTTACAATAGACATGTTTTGTTTTGTTTTTATTCCTGAATGTATGTACATGAGTGTGTGCACATCATATGTGATACAATTGTAGAAGTGTGATAATGCTTTGGAAACTATGCTTATTGTGATACTTAATGCGTAAAGTAGATATTCGATTATATTTTGCACGAAATTACACAGCTGATTTTCAATCAAACGAGGCGATTTGTCACACTTATTTATCGGTTACATATTAATTATTTCTGTAAAAGAATTATATTCGGAGCATTTTATAAGTATGTAGAACAAATTGCAAGAATCATTTTAATAATATACCTTTTTATTTAGCCGTTCGCAGGAATTTTGGACATGGTTTTCCTCGCTGCTGACGTCATCAATCCAATATGGCCACAATGACTGATAAGAAAACTTAAAGAAAAGTGCTGTAAACAAGATATTGAAAATATTTTATTATTAAAATGGAAAATTGTGCAATTATTTAGGACATTAACAACTGGAAATATACTAGAATCCGTTAATCTACTTTTATCTCGTCGAATAGAACTATATATGCGGCGATGAGGAGAAGAATTTTAACAATTATACCACAAATTACTCCACATTCTACATATACATATGCTTCACAAATGCATGTACCGTGTGAGTCAATAATTATTGCCATTTGGAATACCTTCGAAACAAAGTTGGTGTTACGTAGTTTAAGCAAGTCGTGCACGACTTAGGATAAGTACGAAAAAATATACACGTATACGTGCATATACGAGCACGCATACGCATACGCACATATGCGTATATATATATATATATATATATATATATATATATATATATATATATAAATAATCTTAAGGAAACGAAACCACCGAGTAGAATTCAGAATTCAGAATTCCGAGTAGTATTCGGAACCTCAAAACATTTGGTGCCTTCTGTGAGGTGTATCTGGACAGAACGAAAGGAGGAACAAAGACAGTTGGTTTCATACGTGCAAGGAGACAAATCAGACAGATTGGAGAAGTATCATCAAACGTGGTGAAACCCAATAACGTAAGTCGTTCACTCCTAATCCTAACCTCAACCGCAAAATTATGTCAGAAAGAACAAAAATCCTCATACAAAGACGAACCTCCTTAAAGTCTTAGATTACACTCTTCAACAATTTAATCGACAAAGATAAATTAAACCACGTGACGTTGAAATTACAAATCGCTCGCTTAACGGATCTGTTTCATGCTTTCGAGAATTCTAACGACGAACTTATCGTGTTAGATCCGGACGGCAGCCATCAGGATGAACTTGAAAACATTCAAGAACGGTTTTATTCGCTCGCGAACAAAGTCGAGAACATGTCAAACGTGGCGAGTACTTCGCAGTCGATAATTAGTGCTGCAAACGATGAAACGCGTAGCAAAAGTACATCTGTAACAGTCAAAAAACGACGTATCAAATTGTCAGAAGTGCCGTTGCCTATATTCGATGGCAAATACGAAAACTGGTTGTCTTTCAAAAACGCGTTCAGTAATATGATATACAAACGGACTTGTCGGACGTAGGCAAACTATGTTACTTAAAATCCACGTTAGTTGGCGACGCAGCTAATAAGATAAAAATCCTCGCTATTGATGGGATAAATTACACGAATGCCTGGAAGTTGTTGGAGTATTAATCTCGTGGCATTGATTTCATTGATTTTAAACATGACGGTATTAGATAGGGAAACAACCAACGGCTTATCTAAACTCGCCAACGATATAGAACATGTGGTTGCATTGAACGCCTTAAATGTTTCCGTCGGATCTGAAATGTTAGTAGACATCATGGAAAGTAAATTACCAAATACTACGTTAGAAAAATGGGAGGCGAATTTGGAGAGAGACGAATTCCCAAAAGTAGACCAAATGTACGAATTGCTGTATAAAACCGCGGTTTGCACGTCAAGACGTGAGAATGCCAAAGCAAAGACAGCAGGTTTTAACAAAGATGTAGCCGATGTTCCCGTTAAAAGAAAGCGAAATTATTTCGAATCAATCCTCCTTAGTAACCGTGCCGCGCAAGTGCATAGCTTGTCACAACAAAAGACATCCGCTTTATCAATGCGATAAATTCAAACAAATGCCCGTACTTAAACGCATAGAGGTAGTGAAAACCGCAAAGCTTTGTTACAATTGCTTGCGTTCGCATCGAGACAGCCCTTGTAAATTCTCCAATTGCCCAATTTGCCAAAAACGACATAATACGCTATTGTATTGTGACAAATATGCAAACGTTAAAAACCAGATACGACGCAACCCACAACTAGTAACACAGCATGACTAGTCGATCAGAGTCGAAGGAGAAATGTATGTCTCGCGACCTTATCACCTACCTCATCGCCACAATTGTTAACGAGTGCGATGGTGTATATTCGAGATCGTAAACATAATCTGGTTAAGATACGCGCGTTACTAGATACGTGCGCTTCTGCAAATTTCCTTTCGGAAAATATTGTGAGACGATTAGGCTTACACATAGTCGCATGCTCGACGCCTATCAGCGCGATAAACATAATGTGCACCGAATCCAAAGGTTTGGTGGAATTAACGATACAGTCGGTGATTGATGATTATTGCAAAGAATTAACATGTTTGACGATACCATCCGTTACAGACTTAATTCTGTGTAGTATATTTCCACGTAGTTCGATCAATATACCTGCAAATGTTAGATTGGCAAATCCCGAATTTCGCTTGCCACGATCGGTAGATTTATTGATAGGTTCCGGTACGACATTGTCGATGTTCTCCATCGGTCAAATCAATTTATCGCGGGAAGGTCACGATCTATACCTACAAAAAACGTGTCTAGGTTGCAGGTGGTACATCGATACAAGAAGCGACAGAAACGGCATGTTATCTAATGTTAGAAAATCAGTTAGATAAATTTTGGAACATTGAGAAAATCGCGACGGACAAACCGAAGTCAACGGATGAGATTAAATGCGAAACGCATATTTTAAACACTGTACGTCGTAACGAGACAGGACGGTACGTCGTCCGCTTACCGTTTCGAACGTCTAAAAAACGTCTTGATGAGTCGCGAATAGGAGCGCTAAGGCGTCTATCGTCGTTAGAACGTACACTCAACGCGAACGTGACTCTAAAAGACGAATACACGCAAATCTTGGAAGAGTATCTAAAATTAGGTCATATGTCCGTAGTAGAGACACCCGACACCATCGGATATTATATGCCACATCATGCAGTCATTAAGGAATCAAGTATTTCCACTAAGGTTCGTGTTGTATTTGACGCGAAAACAAGCAGTGGGATGTCGTTAAATAACATGCTATTAATAGGACACACAATCCAAGACAAATTGTTTGCGCATTTGATTTGTTTCCGTACATATAGAATAGTGCTTACCGCAGATATAGAAAAAATGTATCGACAAGTGGTATTACACCAAGACGATAGGAAATATCAGCAAATTCTCTGGCATAGAAACAACAAGTTAGAGACTTTCCAGATAAATAGGTTCACGTTTGGCGTCTCTTTTTCACCATTTCTCACGATCCGCGCTATAAAAGAACTCGCAGATGACGAAAGTCATATACATTCTAGGGCAGCCGAGATTATTAAAACGCAGCTGTACGTAGATGACTTATTAACCGACGCCGAGACGGTCGACAAAGCTCGCACAGTTAGATAAGAAATAACAAATTTATTATTCACTTAAAAAGAGTTATTCGGTCATATTTAGTACGAAATTACACAGCTGACATTCTATCAAAACGAGGCTATTTGTTACATTTATTTAGCGATTATATATTAGTTATTTCGGTAAAAAAAATTGTATCCGGAGCATTTTATATGTATGTAGAACAAACTGCAAGCATCATTTTAATAATATAACTTTTTATTTAACGGTTTGTAGGAATTATGGACACGGCTTCTTCGTTTTTGACATCATTAATCCAATAGAGCCACAGTGACTGAAGAGTCTTAAAGAAAAATTTTTCAAAGAATATATTGAAAACGTCTTACTGTTAAAATAAAAAATTGTGCAATTATTTAAAAAATTAAAAATTATTTAAATATTTTGCAATTATTTAAAAACTGAAAATACACTAGAATCCGTTAGTCCACTTTTGACTTCAATGGTTTTTGTGCCGATGTGCTAGTTAAAATCAACAGTGTCTAATCCGTGATAAAATTATGCTCCGCGATCATATCCACTCCTTAGTAAAATCTGCTTGAAATTCCATAATTACATATGGTTGTTTAAATGACGAACCGGCTACATAAATATGGTAAAATGTATTATAAATTTCAACATAAATCACTGAATTCTTTCATTTGTATTTAGCACAAAGCTCGGTATCGTAATGATCCTGCTCAAAATTTGGTCCTACTAATATAATTGTTAAGTCCTTTATGTGACATAAAAAATGTAAGTGGATTTCGCAAGTTTTAAATATTCCTTTTTTAAAGCATTTAATGCTACCATGTGAATAATACATTTAAATGCAAACATTTGAATTGAGTAAAGTAATTGATAATATTTGAATTGAGTATAGAAACATAACTGCTTAACAAATGTTCTTGTTCATTTTTCAGATCTGTAACAAACGATCACAAGGCAAGACTCAAATGGTACAAATCTTCTTATCTGCCACAATCATTACACAAACGATATTGTATTTCAAGATCTAATACTCCACGAATATAGATAACCGTTACTCTAAATAGAATGTCGCAAATAATCTTGTAGGATATATTTATAAGTTATCACATGTAAACAGCAAAACAAGAAAGAGGCACAACGAAGTGGAAAAAGTTGCAAGTTTTGAAACTATTATTAATAACATTAAGAAAGTAAGGGTTTGAATTATTTTTGTTTTATGTATGACTTATTGATGAATATTCGTCCAAATTGTACCCAATTATATACGCATTCTAAGTAAGACGCAATACTATATAAAAGAATTTGTATTATGTTAATTATTGAATTATGTTATATTAAAACTTCTCTGAGTAAACTTTATATAGGTACCATTAAAGGAAACTTTTATACAAGCTAAGTAAAAGATGTTTTATAATTAATATAAAATTTTATTATTCTACAGCTCAGTTAAAGTACGAAACTCTAATAACAAATATAATGTCGAAAGAATTTAATATTTACGTTATATTCAATTTTCCATATAACATATTTTTGTTATATACTTTTGTTATATACTTCTCTATACTTTTCTAAGTACTTGTTTAATTATAGGAGATGATAAACTATATTCCACTAAATATTATCTATCTATAATAGTGAATCACTTAATATTATGGGGAATGTAAAATTTATTAAGCTTTTTAAATTTAATTTACGGTAAGCCAACATTTTTTCCTTCACAATTCATAAAGCATTGTTACTCTGATATTTCCATATTAGAATATTTATTCTTAATTCAGGTAGCATATACTGTTAATGCATTGTGTGATCGTGTTGCAAAGCTCCTAAATTTTAACTTTCCGTATTTATTGCGCAAATGAAATGTGCAAGAATATACACTAGATTTTAACACGTTTTACACGACAATTTTGAATAATCCAAATATGCATTGTTTTTACTCTAATATATGCATCCTATCTTTAAAATTATATTTTTAAACTGTTATATTCCTACTCAAATTAAACGTAAAATTAAAAACTATCTATTCTATTTCTAACTATCTAATATATTTGTTTATTAATATCAGTGACTATTACATAAAAACATCGCAAGTACAATAAAAAGTGCCTCTTATTAAAAATATTCATAATTCATTTGTACAAATAACACATATATTATATCATATACAGAAATGTTATCAACGTAATGCTAAAATCGTATACAAATATTCCAAATCGTTTAGTAAGGTCTCCATAAAGCACGTGTGTTATGATAGACAGTTACATAATCATTACGAAAATATACAGAACCAGTCTCCAAATCCCTCCACGGTCTCCAAGATCTAAAAGGATTTTTAGCACTATGGAGTGGTTCTAAATGCGAACCTAAAATTTCTTTTAAAATAGACACGTTCTGTTCTGCTTTTTCTTCCGATGTGGTAGTTAAAATTAACGGACAGTGTCTAATCCGCGATAAAAATATGCTCCGCGAACATGTCCACTCATTACTAAAATCTGCTTGAAATTCTATAATTATATTTGGTTTTTTAAAAGACGGACCGGCCACATACATATGGTAAAATGTACTATAAATTTCAACATGAAGCGTTGTACATCTGTGTTTGCAGAAAGAACAAAGTTCTTTGTCATAATGTTCCTGCTCAAAATTTGGTCCTACTAGTATAATTGTTAGTTCCTTTACGCGACATAAGAGATGTATAAATATTTCCCAACCATTTACATACTCCTTTTCTAAGGCATTTAGTGCTACAACGTGAATAACGTATTTAAATGCATGTGTTAAACGTGCGGATGAAATGAGTGGTTCTAGCAAACCAGCATTCTTCATTCCATAATATAATGTTAGCGGTCCTGATACATAATCACAGTAGAAATATTTATAATATATTGCAGCTATACTGTTGTATCTTCCGGTAGGACGCCCATATAATCTAATAAATGTATTCATGTCATTAAAAGATATTCTTTGACTAAAAGGTATTTTTATAAGTTTAGTGAATTTTATGTCAGTGAATTTGTGTACACTAGTCACGATATTAGTGTTGATATATAAAACAAACTGTTGGCATTTTTGCTCATGCAAACCTTGAAATATCTGTACATGGTCAATACAATAATATTCCGAATAACACGTTGTACAGTGTAACAAATTAATCTGTCTATGACAAATAGAGCATGATTTTGCAAAAAGAATCATCTGTTCTTCATACGTCTTTAGCTTACGTGGAATCCATTTTTTAATTGAGCTTAGAAATTGTTGTCTTAACGTGATCCAATTAGTTAAACTTAAAGCACAGTCTCGACGTATTTCATTCTCTCGTAAAAATCGGTTTATATATCCACAGATCTGCATATGGTATGGACGATGCAACAATCTGTGTTCAGGAGTGCAATAAGAGATCATATCGCACAGATTACATGATATAAAAGATCCATTGTTTACTTTCTTGCAGACGTGGCAAATGTTTTCGTGAAAGAAGCTATTATAATTATTAATATTAATACGTGGATCGAATACGTGGATCGAATTCACATCGATTACTTTAGAAAAATTACTCATGGTGGGATATTTTGTTCGACATATGATATCAATTTAGAAATGAAGTGTATTGCTTCTTGTAATAGAAATAATGTAGTCGTCTGTCCACATCAGATTTATAACTTAGCTGTTCACATTTCAGATCTATAGCAGACTACTGTAGGGGCGACATTAAGAAGTCCTTTGGTTCGCTAGTTATTATTGATAAACTGATTTGGGTATTTGAAAATGTAACGAAAAACAAATAAACGTTATTAAATAGAATGTTGCAAATAGACACGCATAGGATTCTTATAATTTTTTATTACATGTAACTTGTGTATCAAAAAAAATATTGAAGAAAGAGGAAGTTGAAAGTTTTTAAACAATCATTAATATTTTGAAAAAGTGAAAATATGTATTATTGTTGCTGTATATATATCTTACTAACAAATATATACAAATAGTATACATGCGTCCTGTAAACAATATATATATATATATATATATATATATATATATATATA